CTCTTACTCCGGTGGGAGGAAAAATGCTGGCGGCGCCTTTGCAAAAGAGTTAGGAGGAGGTGCCGGTAAACGCAAAACCCCGCTCGCCCAAAAGGGCGCAACGCAACGGAAACCCTGCCTCCTGCGCTCGCCCGCTGGGCTCTGCTCTCAGAAGGAGGCTCTGGTAAACCACTTCTGAACCACCTTGCCTTGAAAACTGCAAGGACTCGTCTAAGCAGTCACTGCAGAGTCGGTAACGACTGAGCATAGATTAAAAAAAAAAAAAATTAGGGTAGTATAGAGAAACGTGTCAAGGTTATGTGCGTGCTCTTTCCCAGAGTTTATAGTGTTTTCCTTCACAACTGTATAAGTCACAACTTGTACAGAATTTGATTATGATTGTAGTGATTGTTAAGATTATAAGATATTACTAAAATAGTATAATAATGATAAGTGTTAACCATAAAGTGAGAAGATTTGGATAAAATAGGCTTATCTGTTATTTGTCTGCTGGTGGGTTTTTGTCTATAATATGTTATTTATAATTATATTTTAAAAGCTATAATAATTTAGAAATCAGTGTACAACAAATTTAACTTAAAATTTGAGTCCTCATTTGTGAGCACTTTGATAGGCATGCTGCAATTAACAGATACCAGTGTGGATTTGTTACAAAACATGTCAGACAAAGCTTATCTTACCTTGCTAGAGCTATTAGCTTAGCAGATCATGGGAATGTTGTAGACACAGGGTATCTGGAACTCAACAGAGCCTCCTATAATTCTCTTCTTAATAAAATGAAACAACATGGCTAGATGACACTACTATTAGATGGACTCAGAGTTGGCTGAAGGGTTCCACTCAAAAAGTACTTGTTAACGACTCAAATTCAGCTTGGAGGGAAGTATCAGAGGTTCTGTCCTGGACATTATGCAGTTCAACATTTTTATCAAAGATTTGGTTGGAAGGTGGAGTTGAGGAATGTTTATGAAGTTTGCAGTTGACACAAAGCTGGGAGGGGCAGCTAATATTACAGAGGAAAGAAAGAATATTAAAAAAGATTTGGACAGATGTAAACACTGGGCTAAAATGAACAGGAGGGAATTTAACAAACAGAAATGCATCTGGGTTGGAAAAATGAAAGGCCTAGGTATTGGATGGGGGAGATCTGGTTTGGCAATAGGACATATGAAAGGATCTGGATATCTTTGTAGACCACAAGTTAAACATGACCCAGCTGCTAAAATGCAAACATTACTTTGGAGCACATTAACAGAAGCAGAGTCCAAATCATGGGAAGTAATTGTCCCACTTAACTCTGCCCTGGTCAGACCCCATTTGGTACTATATATCCAGTTTTGGGCATCACAGTTCAAAATGGGCAATAACAAAGTAGGTTCAGAGGAGGGCTGTCAAGTTGGTGAGGGGTCTTATTGTAAAAATACTTGTTGCCCTGGCTCTCCACACATTGGAGAAGAAAGGATTTTCCAAAACAAATTTTGCTCTGTAATTGATGGGAGACAACAGAGCCACACGTATGGGACATACAGAAAGAAGCAGAAAGGACCAGCATGTAAAATCTCACTTTTCATGCTCTCTGTTCCAATGTCATGAAGTCTAGAATGTTATACTGTAGGGAACATTTCAGATAAATATTAAGAACATTTGATTTATTTCTTTAACATGAGAATTTTCTCCATAAGGATATACCACAAACTCTACCAGATTAGGCCAATGGTCGTTTTTGGGGGTTAGGCAAATATGTTTTAGATAATTTGGCTCTCAGAATTATTAGCCCCATCCAGCATGGCTGTTGGGAAGATACTGCAGTGCTAATCCAAAACATTTGGAAGGCAATAGTGGTGATTAAGCTATCCAACTGAGCCTCAAAAGCTTCAAAGCTGTTCACCAATAATAGCCCTATCCTCCATAAATTTACTTACTTCTAAACAATCTAAATTCGTGGATTTCCTATGAGAAGGCAGTGAACTCTTTAGTTTAAGTATATGTTATATAAAGAAGCATCCTTTTATCAATCCTGATTCTTCCTGTAATGGATGACTTTGAATTCTAACATGAGGGATGGAGAAAAACATCTATCTACTTTTTCCATATTGTGTATAGTTTTATATGTTTTTATCTTGTTTTCCCTCTGCTTCCTTATTCATCTTTTAAGTCCCAAACTTACTGTCTGTCATCACAGGACAAATTAAGATTCAGTTGTTATCTTAGCCTAAGAAGACTAATCAAAGCTCTTTTTCTGTATCATATTTTTCAGAGGAAAAATTACCGCTATGCTCTTTCCATAAATGTGTCATTTGAAGTAAAGAAGATGCCATACAAAGTTCAGCCGGCAAAACTTCCTCAAGGAAGCATAGCTGTGAGTACCACAGAAAATAAATATAGTACATTAATGTCCATTGTTTGGATAATTTTGATTACTGTGACAGAATATATTTATAGACAGGAGTCCAAGATAAGCGTTTCCTGTGTTTTTTAATGCAGGCCCATTCTTTGAATGCTATTTAAAAGATTGTCATCTGAGAGAGTTTTCAAATAATCATAATGTTAGTTGTGTTTCTATTTTAATGGTTCTTAGTTGCGTATAATAAGGAAAAAAAATTCCAATATATCAGGGATAGATATGCTTCTGGTACCCGGAGTACACATGACCTTCTTGGAAAGGGCAATGGTTCCAGTGAATGAGGCAGTAATGCAAAATGAGCAAGATTATGTTACACACATGCTACATTTGCTTGTTTGCTTATAATTCACATTTCTAAAGCCACCCAATTTCTCAACAACTCTGGGCAGTGTACAAATTGAAAACTGAAGAAGTAGAGCAACATCAGAGAGCAGAAAAGAAAGGTGGTCTTACCAGTGGAACAGACATAGGAACCCCTCACAGAGGGAGCCAAAACTGGAGGAAAGAGCCAGGCCTTCAAAGCTCGTTTAGAGAACAATGTGGTTGGGGCTGTTTGACACTCTGGAGGGATGCTGTGCCAGTGGGCAAGTGCCACAACAGAAAAGCCACACCACCTGGATCCCATCAGATGACATTATTTAATGGATGGGACCTGGAGCATACTGATTCTGTTTGATTTTACAGGATGGGCAGAAACAACATGAGTTTAATAAGTAGGTCCTATGCCACATAGAGATTTGTAGGCAATAAGCAGCATTTTAAATTGCAACGAGAAACCTATCAGTAACCAATGTAGTTAGCAAAGCCAAGGTGTTACATGGGTATGTATGCTTATAACTGCTTGCTCCATCCTAGACTACCTGAAGCTTCTAAGTTGTCTTCAAGGATAGCCCTATGAAGAAAATAATTTCAATACTGATCCAAATATATAATTGTACATACAATTTTACCAAAGACACTCTATGGTATGCATTATTCTCTAAAGCATTTTGGTATCTTTTTGTGCAACTGTATCATGACATTTAGAGAAATCCATAAACTCAGCCTACATTCCAATCTGCATATTAGCCCAGGAACTGAGAATCTGTTCAGTTTACACAAAAATACTGATTGAACAAAATCCTGGAATATACTCACTGCTGAGAGTAAACATAAGGATTATTTCAGAGAGTCATAATTTCTAATTGAGTGGGAAGCTGATATATGCCAAACCACACGGATATAGATATAGATATAGGTATGCTGAGATATATGAATTATATGTATTTAGGCTATTCATTTTTATTGTCTTTCAAACTTTAAAAAATAAGTATTAGAATCAGATCCTTATTATGTGCCACTAAGAATTAGTACCCATTCCTTAATAGCGAAGAGAAAACATCATAGGAAAAATATTGTAAGATAAGAAGGATTCAGCCAAGAAGAGTTTTTTTTTTTTTTTACTCTAGCTCATGGGTGGGTACTGATACTACTTGAAGAAGGATGATTTACTTTTAGGCTAAAAAGCTGAATGTTTTGATCCTTTATATTTGTTGCTCATCCAAAGAATGAAGATAAATTCTGGCACTTAGGTGTGTATGTGTTTGCCCTGCATGTGCTCTGTAACAAAAACACATGTTCTTTAAAATGGCTGCTAAGTATCGTCTCCATCTGCACTGCTGTTTTCTCCTGCAGGTGATAGCCTGCTGTTCTCAACAAGTTTCAGATGATATGCAGAATGATCAGATAAGTGTTTTTAAGGACTGCTTGAGCATGAGGCATATTTTTCCATATAGTTGATTTATTGCCAGATGCCCAAAACAGACTATAAACTCTTGAAAAATGATAGTGCTTTTATGTCTTCTCGGATCTGACCATGTTTCATGGAGATTTGCCAATTCTACAACTTGATGTGTTGTAGGCAGAAATTCTTTTGAAGTTTCTACTGGCTATGCTTTTATATACTGTCCTCCAGGAATCAATCAATAGAATATTCATTGTAGGTCCAGGAGAGATATTTGAAACTTCAGGCTTTTTACATGAGCCAAAGTAAGGGTTGAAAGTGTTTAGAAATTCATATAAACAATCTTCAACATTATTATAACTCAGAATGGTCCTCATACAGATTTGATTTTCTTTTTCCTACTTATAGAATGCTTGTACAACAAACTTTAGAGTTCCTAAACTACTACTTTCCAAAGATACATAAGCAGTGTTTATGTATGTATCCACCAAAAACTAGTCAGGCATTATTTTTCTATTCAACAATCAATTGCACCCTCAACAGAAAACTTTGTTGCTTCTCTTTGTATTATCACATGATATGAGTGCAATCAGGAGCTAAGCATTCCTGATCTTGTTAGGAGTTATTTGTAATGTATAGAAAAGATAATCCAACAGCCATGTGGATGAAGAAATTCACAGGGAGATTGGGTGAAGAGCGAGTAACAAAATGTACACTGTGATGTCACAACATAAACTCTACCTATTACAGTATTGCTTTGTCCTTGCATGTGATATTACAAGTACAAAGAAAAGAACATGTGCATTTTGCCATCATTGTAGTTGTGGACATTTACAATAGTAACTGATGTATATCACTTAGAAAAACCTCTGGTTTATTGATCTAAAACTTTGTTTCCCAATCTTCCTTCAACTCAACCTTCCCCAACCTCCAGATGGGTTGTTGGTACAATTCTCAGAATTACCATTGACCATAACCAGTGAGCATAATCTTAACACATCTAGAAGAAGCCAGGTTGGGTTTACAATGCTTTCAAAGAAGCAGAACAATACTATTTCATATGATTAATTTTCTTACAACTCATTTCAACTTGTTCTACATTTACCTTGCATATATGAATGCAAATAAGTAAGAGCTTTCTTGAATCAGACTAAGGAGCCATCAAATCCAGCATTTCTTTTCCAACAAATGGATACCAGATGCTTTCCAGGAAGCCCATAAGTAAAACATAGCAATAGCCCATCTTTATTTTTAGTGCCCAGTACCTAGTATTCAGAGATATATTGTTCTTAGATTTTAACATTCCAGTTAGATCATTTTCATATTCACCTGGATAGTATTGATATCTGAAGGAACAATATGTTTCATTCAGAATTTCACTATGGTGTTCCAGTTGGCACCAAGATCTTTTTGTAGTCTGTCTCTCCATGTTGTAGGAGGTCATCTATGTGGGCATGTGCATACAGCTACCACCATGTCACTTTTGTGTCTACTTGTTTTCTTTCATGACATCTTTGAAATTAGTCTCTCTTTCAGATTTCCTCATTTCTGATTCAGTCTTTCTCCAGTGAGATATCATATGAAAATGAGTGGCACAATGATACACAGTAAGCAATGTGTATGATGTATGTGCCTGTTTTCAGATTTGTGAATATAAGAATGTAAGAAATTGCTCTGTGAGAAAGAGAACCCTGTGAGAAAAGCATCCAGTAGAGCTCAGCTCACTCTCATTTTGTTTCCCATCACATTGTATGGCAGTAATTTCCATTAATTAGTTGCATGCTGTGTGAAAAAGTGAGATACTCTTTAGGGTTACGTTGTGAAGAAGAATAATGGCCATCCTCATGGCTAAAAGCAAGGCTATAATGTCAGCAGACAGGCTTCCTCTTTTTTAGCAATTTTGACTAATAAAAACTCAATAATATAGATTACATGTTGATCATTTTGATCAACATTATTTTTTTCCCAGAAAACAAAGTTCATGGTTAGACATTTAATCCTCACTGAGTTGTGTAGGATTTAAAACACACATGCATACAGAGAGAGCTTTCTATGGATTATGCCTGTATCTCATAAATATTTAGTTGAAAAAATGGAATTGGTTTAAATGTGCAACACTTACAGCCAAGGATGTGCTGGAGAGATTTCACAGGAGCCCTTATTTAAAAATTTTTTTTGATAAAACTTAATCTTGAAACCAAGGTGAAAGAGTGTAGAAAGGATTGCTGAGGAGGAATCCGCTGACTGTGGCCTGTCCGGGGGGTGTGTGTGTGGAGGAAGAATTAAGGCAGATCCACAAGGGTTGCAACTTGATCCCATGTAAAGGATGTCAGGTAAGAGAGTTTGTGAAGAAGATTCACGAGAGAGCAAGTTTGTGTATTGTCATCTGGCAGTGTTAATCATGCTTGTCTATCTCAAGTGACTTGGCTCCATATTACCAGCAAGATAGAGAAAGTCAGAAACCACCAAGGCAAGACTTCTCTTGCCCCACCTTCCCCACTCCCACTATCTGTGAGCAGAGACTCCTTGTTAACAAATTGGTAGTATGATACTGTTTATAGTCTAGGATAATCTTTCTAGAGGCATTGAACTACAACTCTCTAATTTGCCTTATTGGTGTGTCCAAAAGTCTGGATACTCCACCACACCTGGAACCCAACAAATCAGGTAACATTTGGAGATGCAGAAGGCTCTATAATTTCAGTGATGCTTGTAGAAAATAAATGACCAGAAATAGTTTTTTTTTTTTTTTAATTAGCCTATGCTCTCTTTAAAATATATTTATGCAAGGGAATTATAATATGAATGCACACATGTCAATATTAATTATAAAGTTGATCTCAGGGGAGCTTTAAAAAGCTGCTCTGAAGTCTTTTTCAAACTGAAATCAATGCTAAATATTTGAGAATAACATACAAGAATAGTTGGAGTAATTTATGATCTTCTAACCTCTGAAAACAAAAATGATTAAAGATCAGAGAAAGGGGTGTTTTGTAAACAGGCACCAACAGCATTAAAAAATAACTTATTTACCATAAATCTAATGTTACCATAACTTTTCATCTATAACAGATAAATCAGGGTATGCTCATTCATTTGTAATTTTTAAAAAGAATAGTAAACTAAGTGTATCAAAACCTCAGAATTTGTCCTATAATTCTGTGCTTATTTTTGGGATTACATAGAAACTGAAATTTTCAGGCAGCTGTTTTCCTCTTTAAACAACCGGGTTGTTTAAACTGGGTTAGGGTAAGGTGGAGGAGTTTTGCCTTAGTGGGTGTTTTCAGAGCTGCATCACTGCCAATTTAAAAAAGGGGGTTCCTATGTGCCTCACTTGCAGCAGCACGTTGTTTACTAGATCACTTCCCACACTGCTCTCCTAATTGTAAAAATGTAGGAGTGAAAAACAGGATGGTGGGTTCCCATGGCAGTATCTCTCCATACTGAAAAAAACCCAGTGCCTCTGTGGATGTTAGTCAGTCTTTAGCTTTTCTGTGCCATGAAGGATCTTAATGATTCAATCAGAGTATTGCAGAAGTAATCAGATAGGAGCAGTAACTAGCTATGCTGGAGAATTTTGTTCAATCCACATTTTAAAATTAGCTGACAGAATTCATACTTCCCAGGTTAACATGTACATCAGAACACAACTGGGTTTTGGACCACATACTTTTCTGAATTTGGGGATACACTTTAAAAATATGTACAGAAAAGTCTGTGTTTATAACTGGACATGTGTAGATTGTCACAGACCAGAACCAGTTGATCGATCCATCTCTAGCTGCAAGCACATCACTCCAAATTACACATTAATACAGTCCAACATTAAGTTTTTCATGAGTTCATAATACAGTCAAACTGAATATTTTCCCTATACTTTTGAATACATTTTGTGATCTGTTAACAGAGAAAATTGGATGGTTTCCTCATACATTCTTTTGAAGGTGCATCAAAACCTCTTCCCATTTTTTCTTCTGGCTGCTGGCTTGGTTATATCCACCCGCTTTCTTAATATTGAGAAAAATAATAGATCAGGAGTAGAGTCCAGATTTTATATACCTTGACATCTGCCACTAAACAAATTCAACCAGCATCATCCTGATGTTCAGCATGGAGTTATATGACAAATTGTCCTGATATAGTGTCTTCCTGTTGCCCACAGAGGGAATACTGGAAAACATGCAACATTTATTCAGTTCTGTAAACATAATTTTCTTATCATGATAAAGAGATATTTTCAGTTTTGCAATAGGAATTATTTTAACAATGACTCCATACATAAACCAGTACATATCAAAGCATCTGCTAGAAATACTGTAAGATCTCTATAAAAGTTTCCACATCTGTATTACCAGCCCTGACAGATAAAAGGATGAACAGAAAATATTTGTTGAGCCTTTCATTCCTAGATTTCAGTTTTTTTAATGCAATAAAAAATAAATGTTTTTAGAAAGAGATAAAACACTTCTGAATTATTACTGGATCTTTTTATACAAAATAGTGTTTAATCTAAAACCACCTGGAAAAATGTGAAAACTGTCCAAGTTGCAGAACATACACCCGCATAAGTTGTAAATAAAAGCTTAATATGTGGTCCCTTTTACTACTGTACTTGTAGGTATGCACACACATGTGCACACAATGTGGGTTATTGGAGGAACAGCATCTTACTAAGATATAGATGTGGATCAAAAATTAATCCTTTGGATTTTTAATTTCTTTCAATTTTCCTATGCAATTTGTGGCTCAAACTGCTTTTAAAATGTGTGCTTTGGTATAAAAATATGTTTAAGTATTTTAAAAATGTTTTTCATGTGGGTTAATTTTTAATGTAGATGAATGTAGAGGGATAAATCTGGGCTAGTAATGAAGTGGGACAGGAAATACACCAATCTATCCATTCCTAACGTTCACACATACAACTGCTGGACAGCGCTGTGCCTTCACCTTCCTGTGTTCATGTGTCTGTGAATGCCAGAAGTATTCTTAAAAAGACAGTGTTTGTTTGATAAAATGCCGTCCTTCTTATAATATAGTTCCCATTCTGTGAATATGGGTGATACCTTGCTTCATGTATTTGCTAATGGTTGATATGGCTGTGCAGAATATAAGGTAGCTGCTTATATGAATACATATCTCAAAACAAATACACTTACTGTATCTGCTATCTGGCCTGATAGCAAAATACTCTTTATCAAAATTGTGAGAATATTATTAAGCTTTTTTTTTTTTTTTGGTCTTAAAAGGCATTGCTAAGGCTCATGGTAGCAGAGAAAACCTTGAAAATGTGGATGCTGAAACTATAGAAAATCCTGAAGGCCAGTCAGTCCCATATAATGTACCTGGAACAGAGCAATCTCCCCCTCCTCCAAAAAACCTGGTACCTTCCAGATGTTACCAATCTTCCCCAACCTCGTGCTGTCCAAGAATCCCTCCCATGAAGGCACAGAAAAAACTGTAGAAGAATTTGAGACTTGCCTTTTGTACAGCCAGATGTAAAGTCTCTTCTCATTCACAAAATTTATGAGAGAATATGTCTGTACAAATTATAAATTCTAATCTCTTATGGCATTCTATAGATAGAGTAGCAAATTAGACTTGTTCCAATTAATAGTATAACCAGAGTATGAACTATATTGTTTTATTATTTCAGTAAGCTTTGGTAATGACCTTGTATAATTATCAAGGGTAGCCATAATATCATCAGTGTTGAGTGTACCATACTTTTAATACTTTGAGACTGAGTAATGGAAGAAGCCAGTGGTTCAAGAACCAATCTTCTGTAAGGAGACAAGGGGCATCCTTCTTGGTTGCCACAATATAACTTGATATGTTGAGAGATAAATCCATTCATAAGAACTCTAGCCACTGGATAAAGATAAAACATTGAAATTCAGTGAACAAAAGATGATGGAAACCCATCTTTTTGACATTTAATAAAGTCAATTTGAGCCATATCAAAGCCTATTTATTTATTTATTTATAAATTTATATGCTGCCCATCTCCCCCAGAGGGCGACTTTTCAATTACAAAAATCAACACTTTTCAGCATCTAACAAAATTATAACAATGGATTCTAATTTATCTGTGGCAATATGCAGAATATCAATCTGGTGGATATTGTCAGATGCTTGTCTATTTTTTATAACTCTAGATTGAGAGGGGAGAATTATATATGATATTACTTTCTGTAGCCTTCTACCTACTTTGCTGTTAATATTATAATGTCTGCATTAAGCAGCTAATGCTGTATAGCTTATACATCTTGTGGGGTCTTTCTCAGGCTTTAATATTATTGTAATATAAGCCTTATAAAACAGTAAAGAAATATAGAAAGATTAAATGATTGATAATAGGCCTTCAACAATATAGGTGTCAATAGCCTGTAAAAATTCTGCACCATTCAACTGGGGGCCCAGTTGGCTTGGGGGCTTTCCCCAGTTTCATAGATTACAGTGTATTTTACTTTGCCTTCTGAATATCTGCTAATATATTAACTGAATATCTAAATTGCAGATTTTCAGACCTACATATTCTAGAGTATATTATAGATCAATAATGTAACCATAACCACAGATAACTCATCTGTGTTAACAAATGCTCAGAATGCAAGTGTCTGCATCTACAATATTTGCTTCCACTGTATCATGTTCAAATAGGCTTTCAGCATTCACATTGAACTTATGTTGGAAACTATGAAGGGTTCAAGAAATACATATTTTTCTTTTTGTAATCTTCCTCTGGTGATCTAGGGAGCTAAAGCTTAAAAATAATATTGTTTTAATTTGGTGATCTATAAAAAATAAAGTCCTACCACTAGACAGAAGGAAGCATGTTTCTTAAATGATAGATTCAGAGAGGGACCAATGAAGAAGAGGACTGTGTGCCATGCTTTCTTCCTTCCTAGCCTGCTGCTTCAGAAATGCTACTCCACTGCCTTTTACATATTATCCGTATATTCTTTGCAATTCAGTAATATCAATTTTTTTCTTCATTTATCTTTACTAATTTCTTTCATATTTCATTTCAGATAAAAACATCTGTTATTTGGGCTACTCCAAATGTTTCCTTTATAATCCCATTGTGGGTTATAATATTGGCCATACTTCTTGGACTGCTGGTGCTGGCTATGTTGACCTTAGCTTTGTGGAAGGTATGTTATGTATTGGGACTGAAATGGAGAAGATGTTAACAAAATAAAATTGGGAGTTAGAGTGGGGAGAGAAAAGAACTTAGTCTTCTCATCAAAACAGTCACAGATATATGAGACGGGTGTGTCATTTCTAATGGAGAACAGATATGTTAGTGTTGCTGGTCTTTTAAAAAAAGAGACAGCTTGTTTTCAAAGTCACACATTATTAAAGGCTAGTTATAAGTAGAGTGAAAGATCAGCTGTGATTCCCAAGACCTTTATATTTTGTCCAGCAAGGCAAAGTTTCTGCAGCATGTGACAAAGAAGCATCACTAGTATTGTTTCTTCCTAAATCCTCAAGGGTTATCTTTCGCAACATGCTGTTGTGTGCTGTTTTGTAAAGCTGCACATGATCTTATTTCAAAATTGGTAGATCCTGTTTAATTTTTTTACTACATCACTGAATACTTGCAGTCAGTAAGTCATTGGTAGTTTACAAGTTTCTATTTCAGAGAATTGGAAACAATTGTTTTCAAAGTATCTTAAAACACAACTTTTGTACATCTGATACATAATTTAATTTGGAAAAGGAAAATGGAAAGAAAGTTTTCACAGAGGTAGTTTTCCAGTGTATTAATGACTGCCAGCTATTTTAACCAGATCCCGTATGTTCTCAGATATAACTTCTTCCTAAATCTTTCCTCCAGTATTTATACATTGATAAGCTTTTCTATAATAGACTAGAACATATGGGATTAGATACTATCTGCTCAAATTAGAAATAAAATAATGTTGAATTTGTAGTACTCATCCTGAATTCTTTCATCCTGAATTCTTATAGTAATGTCCTAATATTGGTCCTAACATTATCTAATTCTATTTGCTCTATAGAATTTTGGTGATCTATATATATCAAATAAAGTGGATTAGTGTTACATACATAATGAAATCAATAGGGTATCTTAGGATTATAGTAACAATGCAATCCTATGAATGAGTCATTAATGGCTATTGATAATTTCTAGACATTTAGTTTTTTAAGAGAAAATCCATATAGACTGCAAATTGGGACATAGTTAATTGTTATTATCATGTAACAGCTAAATTAACTTTAAAAAGGACCATTTAAATTAGTTAAGTTAACAAGACAAAAGACCAGTTTGATCTTGAGTCATTTCCTGAATTTATCCTTAGCTAACTATTTAAAATTTAAAATTCTGATTTGAATGATGTATATATGAAAGTACACTATGCAAAATTACTTAAGTGAAGTAGAGTAAATATGACAGATTATGAGATAACTGCCCAAAACTTTCTGGATAAAGTGTCAACAATCACTGTATAAAACTGTGTTCCTTTATGAAAAAAATTATAAAATATGTTTATGTGTGTGGAGAGGATCATAAATATTCATAATTTGCTCCAACTTCATTCATTCATTCATTCATTCATTCATTCATTCATTCATTCATTCATTCAGTTTATATAACTGCCCATCTCACATATGTGACATGCCACAATGCATGACATATATTTATGCTTGACTTAAGAAATTAAAAATTTTCTCCAAGGATTTTCTTTTAACAAAGAAAGTGTTTGAGAGGATCATGAATTTAGTTTAAAACTTGAGCATAGAATTGAACAACTTTTTTGTATTAAATTCAGGTTTGATTTTTGTGCTAGGTTATTTTAAATGTAATGTTATGCAGTTTCCTTTTAATCAAAAACTTCTGACTGATTAGATGATATTCTGTCAAGGAGGCATGATGGGTGGGATTCAATCTGCACGGTGAGACACAAGTTATTCATACCTGGCATTAAGTGCTGCCTAAGACATGCCATGTAGAACTCTTGATTTTTTAAAAAAATGCATTCCATTTCTTTCTATCACCTTCATCTAGACAGATAATCAGAGCCAGTTACTTAGACTGGTTCTTGCTCATCATTAGGCTTTCATCTGCCCCTTGGCCACGTTGCTGGAAAACAGATCAGCCACAGTGCAACTTGGCATGAAATAGCAATTCACCAGTAATACTCAGTAGAGACTCACCAGGTTTTGATCTGCCTTTCGGGATGATTCATGGTCACAGTTATGAAAAGTTTCAGACTCGAAATCTGTAAAGATGTTTTTCCTAGTATTGAATGCTTGGTTTTCACCATTATATCTTTCATAAAGCCATCTACTCTCATAAGCAAGTGTTTTTCAGATTGGGAGGATGAAGAATTGTAGAGAGCCTAATTCCCCAGTCTTAAACATTTGTACCAAAGTATCTTTTTGTGTAGATATCATTCTGCAAAAATAACATTATTTTCAATTACTGTATGTGTCTGAATGTAGCTGTTAAAGTATATCCCATCCAAAGCACCCAATCACAGGATTGAGATATAAAGCTGAAGTTGTTATTATATTTTTTATCCTGCCCACCCGCCATATATATTCATATATATACAATATAATGTATATTCATTCATTCAACTCAAGGTAGTGAACATACCTAATACTCCTGCCTCCTATTTTCCCCACAACAACCACCCTGTGAGGTGGGTTGGGCTGAGAAAGAGTGACTGGCCCAGTCACCCAGCCAGCTTTCATGCTTAAGGGAGGCCTAGAACTCACAGTCTCCTGGTTTGAAGGCCACCACCTTAACCACTACACCAAACTAGCTCTCTCCCCACAACACCAGACTGGCTCCAATATGGCCCTTGCTTATGTTTGATTCAACCGCAGTCTCTTTCTGAGATATACAATCAAATCCCAATCAGGTCTACTCAAAAGGAAGCCCTATTACATTCATTAGGTTTATTCCCTGGTAAGTGTACATAAGACTGATTCTATAGATAAGTTGAACACTCTTGGGAATACGCCATGCTTCTGGGAAATTCTCCTTGTAGTAGTAGTGATAGGATTTCCATATGACATGCAACAGGATTTTGTTGTTGTTTGTAGCCTTTTTATCAGTTACACAGCATTTGAATCAGTTCTCTACCTGCAAAAAGCAGTTCTGAGTTTAAGCCAGTTTGATATATTATCTTACTGTTTTGAAAAAGATAATATACCAAAATGACTTAATTTCAAAAGTGCACATGTTTTGAATGGCAACTGAAGCCCCGTTTACAAAGATTATGGGAATTATAATATATCTGGACACAACCAGATCTGCATAGGCATATATAGTCAACTTCTAATGGTAGTCTGAAGTTTGGAAATAAGATGTTATGGTAATCAGATGGTTGATTTCCCAACTTGCTTACATTTTATTGTTTTGTTCTAGTGTGGCTTCTTTGACAGACCCAGGCGTCCTAGAGATGACATGGCTGACAGAGTGCAACTAACAAGTGACAAGACTACTGATACATAGAAAATGAGAGTCCAGATCAAGAGGTTCGGTTCATGAACCAGGAACCTTAGTTTGGATTCAAGATTGCCAAATAGCTATAATTGGGCCTATGCAGTATTCTATCCATTCAGAACATAGATCGCAGAAAAGAATATTATCTCTGCCTCAGAACTGATGAGCAACCTTCCATCCCAAAGGAGTAAATGAAGAAGAATTGTTTCAGTTTTTCAAAACTGATTCTTCATGAAATCATGGGAAACATTAAAAGCAGTCATAAACCCAAATGGGGCAGAGATGGAAAGCCAAAGATGCTTAAATGGGTGAAAGATGAGCAAGACACAATGTTCAACTCTACTGTATGATGGCAAAATCTTGAGGCATCTCCCTAAGGATAGGAACTTTTATAAACTCTGGCTCAGGGAGACAAGCAATGTTATGGGTACTATGAAAGTACTTCCAAAAGCAAAAATAGCCTTTCAAAATATTTCTTGAAAGTAAGGCACGCAAGTATTTATTTTCCATCTTTTGTAGACTGGGCATCCTAGCAAAAATAGGGTCTGAAATTTTATAGTTTCACTATTTCATATGTAAATAGAGTGACTATATCCTTTGCATTCCATATACCAATTATAAATATTTGGAAAGAAGCAAAGTTATATATTATTTTATCGGAGGAAATATATTATAAAGATTCATAGAATTGCAGGCCTTGGAAGTGAGCCTCAATATTATCCTAATTCCTAAGGCACAAAATAGAAATTTCCATTTATTTAATGACACTACACCATGAACAGAACTGATTAAGATTGTTTGCAATATCATGATTGTAAAGCACAGAGAAGTATGGGACCCCAGGGAGAAGACAGAAGTCGAAATGGAGAAGGGGTGTTGAATCTGTAGAGATTATCTATATTCTAGTACTATAATCCAGTTCTTTCTAACAGGGGGCCCAAGTCACAGATTGTAAAGGCAGGTAGAGAGAAAAGCCAATTAGTAAATTCGATTTGGCAAAAAGATTCCTATGTAAACTAAGTCAAATCAAGAAATAAAAATCCCCAAGCTTTCCTAAGAAAAGTTTTGTAGTTCACTAATACTATAGTTAACTTTTGCCTTGAATGCATGGATTATTCAGAAGAATTAAACATTTGAAGATGTATGGTTAAATAAATCATTCTTAAACTCACTGTGGGACATCTGGCTAGCAGATTAAATCTTGCAAAGGACCTTCATCAATTTTGTTCAAAGCCCTTTTGAAACACCAGTGGATTTTTTTGTTTGGGTTTTTGCTCCCATGACTCCTTCTAGGTGCAGGTAATCTAGAATTATGTCTCTCCAATAGGAATGTTTTTCTGCTCTCTAACAGTAGACAGTTCAGAGACATTAGTTCTTATACATATAAGAATTATTCCAGCAACTCTTAGAGGCATGGGAGCTCTCTCCCATGGAATGACTTCAGTACAGTGAGCAGAATTGTGAACATTCTTTCTTGTTTTTTTAATGGATTGTGTTTTTTTATTGGGCCAAATCCAAAACGATTTCCAGTCCATAGGTTATGTAATGATAGGACCAAAGTATCTTCCGTTGAAACAAATTCAAAATGTATTTGTGTTTTTTGAGTAAATGCATTTATTTGCAACCATAGGTTTTAGCAAAATAATGTATTTGTGCAAATGGTGAAAAAGTCTGCATTACGTTTTATAGAAGTGTTTATGCTTTTCAGCATCTTATTCTCTTCTCCTTGATTGGTTTATGGATGTTATGTCTAACACCAGACTTCAGTTGTTCCAATAAAATAATCCTGCTATTTGACCTGCCAAAACCAAAAACTATTATGTGATTTCTGTTAACACAGAAGGAAAAAAATATTCCTTCAGAGCCCTATCCCATTCTGCTGCTGGAACTCTTTGAACATGCTGACACCTTTTGTACACTTTTTCTCCAGTCAAGAAATGAGTTAGATGGCACTGTACCTGTTGATCCTCTCTTCAAAGGCGGCTCCTGAGAATATGAATTTCCAGCAGTTAACTCAGTAGCTAGAAGAAAGTTGTCTTTTGGGGGGTTTTTCGTTTACCTCCCTGTCTAGCCCACAACCCTGGGATTCCTGGTGGTCCAGGTACTATCAGGTCTGACCTTATTTGAGTTTTTCAAGATCAGCCAAGGTTAGCTAGGTGCTGTCACCTGTTTTTAAAAATCCTGTTCCATTAGCTGGGGTGCTACCAATTTAAAAGTAACAAGAGGCTTTGTAGGAATCAAAGAACCTTTGCAGTAGAGTATTTAAATAAGCAGTTGCTTTTTAAAAAAAATAGAGGAAGCCTGTAATCACTCAGCTAGGGGGGCAACCTCTGGCCCTTGGTCTAATTTCATCTGGCCTTTGATCTAATTTCAAAAGGCCTTTGCAAGTGATGAGCTCAGAGTTCTGTAAGAACGAACTCTATTCTCTAGCAATCTGCTGACTGGTAAGGAAGAAGGAGTAAGGTTAATGTCAAAAAGAGAGAGAGAATAAAGGAGGTATTAGAAAGGAGAGAGTGACATTCCATTCATTTTTATTCTAATTTCACTGACTTTCTTTAGCTGCATTGTATTAGCATTGTTCTCTGTTACAACCCTCAACACAAAAAAAGTTGTCGTGCACCTAAAGAGGCTACAATATTTCCTGTAGTTTTTGCCATAGCCTGAGATATTGATCTGATTGTAAAGAGACTTATTGTGATCTTTGTTTCAGCAGACACTTACCAAGGGTGAGAGGGGGAACCTGTTGTACAATGAATTGAGGAAAAATAGTCAAGAGTGGAGCATTAACTGTTCTATTTCCTCTGTATTCATATAACATGTAAGGGACGACTGCTTCAGCTATAAAAGCAGTTCCTCCTTAACTGATTAATATCCATCTAAAGAAAACAATTGTTTTTGTAAATAGTAAATATTGATTTATAGTAATCCAGAACAATGACCTGGCCGCACACATGTACATCAGTGACACATAACTCTCTTGGGTGAATGAGAATATGTTTTTAATTTTCGTACGTGCAATACTTTTGTATTATCTATGTACATGGTGCATGTTTACACTGGCATTTGTGTTTCTTAAAAGAAGTTCAAATATATTGATTAAGAAATTAAACAACTGTTGCCTTACCTCCAGGTTTTGTTAGTGTTTATTTAAAACAGAATCAGCATTCTATATGGTCCTCTGATAAGATCTATGAACAGCCACTAATGCTAATTACTGTTTCCCAATGGCCATGAAAATTCAACTATTTACTTCACCTACATGAACAGCCCTGAGAGAGATGCACAAAGGATAACTCATTCAATTCAGTAGGGGAGGCCAAACCTTTGTCTTTCTCACAGATCTGTTCATCTGCTAAAATACATTATGTCAACAAGTGCTGGAGGACCACCATGCACATGGAGAAGCACCAAGTACAGTCATGTTCAAAGTCAACCTATATTTGATTCAGTTTCTGGTCATTGTTTATTTTAATGAAGAACAAAATAAAAATGGGAAAGTTACAGAAAGAGAAATAACATCAATCACAGTGAGCTTGGCTCAAGCCCAATTAGGGCAGTTATGTGGCATCACAGCCTCACACAAGTGAGAGGTACATAAGGTAATATTGCTTTTTTTGAGGAAGTGTTCATTTTTCTAATCCTTGGCATTTTACATTCCCTTGCAATAATGTTTGCAGCTTTCTGCTTTTCAGAAAGCTTTTCAGAAGTTTCAGTGGTTATAAATTGGAAATTTATAGCTTTCTATAAAGCTGGTATTTGTGGAGGTAAAGGCATGACCAAGTTCTTAGGTGAACCCTGGTGTTTGACTTACCTGCCTGGACCTGTCCAGCTATTGCTATTTTTCTTTGTCTGACTTTGAGCACCAACTATCCCAAAGAAAAGGTAAAAATGTGAAAAAGAGAGGGATCAATTTGTGTTTTATAAGGGCAATCAAAGCAATATGAAGGCTATTGATGCATATGGTGGTGCACTAGGATAACATTAAACTGCCCTACCAGACCTTCCACAATCAGGATGCAGCTACAAAGCAATGAGGATTAAGCCTTGATTGGGGCTAAAGAGGAAATTTTAAATTTGGAGGGAAAGGTAGCAAGATTCAGATTCCCATTCGTTTTTTTAAAGTGAAGTGCTTTAAAGATATTTTGATCTTGTTATTTTTAAATATTTAATAGTAAGTGTGACTTAAAAAAAAAAGTTATGCCAGTTTCCTAACTCAAACTGAAAAATTATAAACTGAATTGTTTGTAATAATTTTTTAGTCAGGTAAAAAAAGAATGTGTGGTCTGAAACACCCAGGTGGATTTGATGAGGACCAATAAAATGGGAATATATGCTCAAGGATTTTAAGCATCCTTACTTGTTACCAGTCTCTTCCAAGCCATGAATGACTCGGGACCAAGGACATCTGAAGGACCATCTGCCACTTTTTCTTCAGCAGCATGTGTGTCTATTAAGATCATTCTCTGATGCCATTTCCCAGATGACTCTGCCATCAGAAGAGAGGTGGATGGTGACTGGCAAGATGGAGTTCTGAGTGACGTCATCCCATTTCTGCAATCTAAGTATCTAAGTATCTAGTACTAAGTCTAAGTATCTGTGCTGCTATCTTCTTTTAGCACTAATAGCTAACCTTAGCTTGGCTAAATTGCTGTTACAGTACTCTGTTGGTGTTAGTGGGTTCTTAATTTTTAAAACATCTTACTATCTATTGCATTTGTTTTATACAGTATGGAAGCCATTATCAACTTCATGTGGACTAGGTCGAGCAGCCTGTACTCTTAGGGCAGGAGGGCACAGCATCTATTGGCTCAAGAGCCATACCAGGCTTTGTGCAGTATTTCAAGGGCCACGGTGTCCTGATTTTGGAGCACAGTGCAGAGTTTTTAATGGGGAAAATATAAAATATTTCCATTCTTGTGACTGCTGTTGCCAGATACACCAGCATGTGAGGAACTGCTTAAATGGCCTTTCTTTGCAGTTAGAAACCAACAAGACAATGGAAAGTCCTAAACAGACAATCATACTTTGTACTTAATTTCTTGTAGCAAACTTCCTTTTCTGCAAATGTTTTTGTAAAAAAAAGTGCTTCACATACTTCCTCAAATTATTGTTTATGGGCAAGTTCTTTATTTATGCTGGCTGGCACACATCCACGTTGAAAAGCTGTCTGAAGTGAGTGCCTCTTGACAATGTAAAAACTTGACTTTAGCATTTGCTGGCGCCATGATATGACACAGCAGGAATGTTTTCAATATCTAAGAACTAGTATGTTTTCAACTGACTTTAGTTTGTGCTGCAGGGACATCATTCATCGTTGCTACCCTACTGAGTGTAAAAAACAAACAAACAACAGCAAAAAAGTAGATGGTTGGAAAAGAGAATCAGACAAAAAAAATCAAGTTCAATATTTGGTTCTCACTGTTGTCTTCTGTAGGCAATAGTTACTCAACAGTTCAACCGAACAGGATGTTTAGTATTGAGGTAATTCTATTTTTGCCCTTTTTCAATCAGGGATTATATCAATATTATACTCTTCCGGAAACAATCTTCTCTGTCGGCCAAAAACACTGGTGAATCTCCCAAAGATGATCATAACAATTCAAAATGTCTGCTTGTTAGTTTTCATCAGATTGAAGATGAGGTTAATGCCAAAGCATCACTGATTTTCATCTTAGAGGAAACCAGAAAAAAAACTTGGATCTTTTCTTACAACCAAAGAACTGGAGACACTTCCGGCTCTCTTATGTATTATTTTGAGATAAGCATATTGAAATGACACCCTCCCCCCCCCCAAATATTTGGAGAAGTAAAGATGCTTTCCTGTTTATCATTATAAAAGTGCCTATCTTTGACATTAAACAGGATGTAGATTTATAAACGCTACCTATATAAAGGGGAGTTTAAATACCTAACCTACTGCCTGAACTTAAAACTTGGTTGATAAGCTCTGACCCCAAGGGCTCCATATGGCCCACTCTGTGTCTTGAGTAAAACCCCCAATATCTCTCTAGAAGTTGCCACAAAACTCTAAACTCTGTTTTTAAAAATAAATGAAAAAAAGCACTCTGGGGAAACTTGAAGGTTGGTATACACATTTCAAAAAGAAAACAAATTAATGTGACAGAGGGAGAAAAATATTTAATACAGGGGAAATAATCCTATTAACTGCATTTAATTAATTTAATTAATTATATTTTATTTTAATTCAGTCAAATATAGATTCAAGGAGGAAGAGCTAGGAAGTTAAAAGAATTTTAAGGGATTAATGAGATAACTTTATGCAAAAAAATGTGTTTGGGGGAGCAGATTGTTTAAATCTTCAGATGCATCATGATGAGGTAAATTTGATGTCTGTCAAATTCAGCCAAAGGCTATTGTCTATTATTCTGCAACCTATTTTAAAATGTAATATTAAAGTGGCTGATTATCAACAGTTGATATTTTCTTCACTTAAAGGGCAATAACTGTTAGTACTGATAACACAAACTTAATGAATGATGGGCAAGGGATGAGTGGGCCATTATTCCAAAACCTTTTGGAAGGCCTGTTTATTGCATTACCATCTGCCTGGAGCCAGCTAAACTCATTATTACAAGGCAAACATTAAGGAACTGCAAAGCCAGCAGATAATTGTTTCTCAGGCTGTATGCAAAGCCAGCCAAGTGGGTGGGAGCCATTAATATTCAGTATACCTCCTTTCCACTTCAGGTATCAAGGTCTTATAAGGATCTGCCCTGGGTTCCTGTTAAAAGACACAGCTCACCTGATTAAGCATTGCTTTATCAGCCATGGCACTTGGCTACAAAATACCCATACTTTTGAAATGATTTCCTTTCAGACAATATATTATCTTGGTCTCTTATGCTTAAATGACTGCTGTTCTCCAAGCCCAAGAGGCAAGGGAAATAGCAAAATCCAATCAAGAATTGGTTTGCATGGACAAGGTTGGGGTGCGAGTTCAGTCATCATATGTCAGCCAACCTCAACCTGATACTCTCCAAATATGTGGTAACAGCAACCCCCACAATTTGCAGTTGGCATAGCCTTTGAGGCCTGGGACATTGGACAAGAGGGCACCTCTTTCCCCCGCATAAAGTTATCAATTACACTGGCAAGTGAAGTACTTTAGGAATACCAAGTGAATATGATCCTTCAGGGTATGGAAAAATTTAGGAGGGGGGTGAGAAAATTGTGTAGTGCACACTACTCTGTTCTCCAACAGAGAATTATGGAATGAGGTACTCAGAAGGATAGCCAGGTAGGGTGGGGGGAGGAAGCAGCCTGAAGTAAGACTGGATCGCATGACTTCCTCTGCATATTTAATGAATGCTAGCCCTATCCACCACCAAAATAGTTGATGATCATAAGTGCTTTGCATGTACAACATTATTCACCAGTATGTCAGTATGGCAGCTAGGCTTAGGAGGGCCCTTGGGCTGGGCAGGATGCTTCCCTGAATTATTTATTCTCACAAACAGCAAAAATGCATTTTTTCGGAGGAGGGCATTTATGTGGTTCCAGTGGTGGGTGAGTTTAACATCATCAATACTTCTGATGATAAATGGGTTCATGTCTATTCTCCCCCCTTGAAAGAAAGTTAACAGGAATCTTCAGTGGAGATCTTTGCAAATTCTGCTGGTGTTAACTTATGACTCTTCCATAGCTATAGATTAAGAACACTGTATCTGAAGAATATCTCTTCCTCTACATTCCTGCCCATAACTTAAGAAACTGTGTTCTATGTGCTTCTCCAAGTTGAGGTGCTGCAAATAGCTACTAGATAAACCACAGCTAATCCTTGGTTCTGGTAGGCCTTCTCCAAGAGATATGCCTAGAATTTAGTGTTCTTCTGTGCCAAGAAATCCTTTTTTCTTATCTTCCAATTCAATTCAATTCAATTCAATTCAAACCTTTATTGGCATTACAAACATTAAAATACAA